TCAAGGACATAGCCTGCACCTTCTCCTATGGAGGAGGGGAAGTGATCCACAAGATCTCCTTCCTGGTTAGCGACGAACTGCCATTCGATATGCTACTGGGCATGTACTACCTCGAAGTCTCGCAACCGCAGTTTGAATGGGATAGAAAGGTGTTGATACTCAAGTTGCCAAATGGTAGGACTGTTAGGTTGCAGAAGTACAAGGCTAGCAGTCTAGTGGAAAACTACGGCTGCATGCGCACTTCTTCTTTCTATAACTATTACAAGCAGAATCGCGAGGAGGGCATGTATCTAGTGTTTGTCTTTGAGAAAGGGGAGGCCGTCAAATCACCCCCAGAGATAAAAAAAGTCGTTGCTCAATAGTCAGACCTTTTTTAGGAGCCCACATGCGTGGTAGAAAGGGAGGTTGTCCCAGGTAGTAAGGTGCCTAGAGGACGAATCTATAGGATGTCTCCTGCAGAGTTAGATGAGCTTCGCCGCCAGCTCAAGGAGCTCACAGAGAAGGGATGGATCCGGCCTAGTACCTCCCCTTACGGTGCGCCAGTCTTATTTGTCNAGGAGCTCACAGAGAAGGGATGGATCCGGCCTAGTACCTCCCCTTACGGTGCGCCAGTCTTATTTGTCCCAAAGAAGGGAGGTCCATTAAGGATGTGCATTGACTATAGGGGCCTCAATGCCATCAACGTAAAGAACGTCGAGCCCCTACCCCGCATCGACGACCTCTTGGATAGAGTGCAGGGATGTCGGTACTTCACCAAGATAGATCTGAAGTCCAGATACCATCAAATTGCCGTTAGACATGAGGACCAGCACAAAACCGCATTTCAGACCAGGTACGGTCTGTACGAGTTTGTGGTGATGCCCTTTGGTCTATGCAATGCACCTGGTACATTCCAGCACGCGATGAACATGATATTTCATGACTACTTAGACAAGTTTATCGTCGTGTACCTCGATGATATTCTTATCTTTAGTAGGACTATAGAGGAGCACGCTGAGCACTTGAAAATAGTGCTAGGTCTCTTACTACAGCACCAGTACAAGGTAAACTTGGACAAATGCGAGTTTGGTCGCACCAAGGTCTTGTACTTGGGTCATGAAATCTCAGCAGATGGATTGAGACCGGAAGATGCCAAGGTGGCCAGCATACGTGACTGGCCCAGACCTCAGACAATTACTGAGGTCA